TGAAGTTCCTCTTCTGGTATATGAAAACAGATTATTTCAAATTCTTGAGCCCCGACTTTTGAGGGAAGCTAGTTTTGAACAACTGCAAGCCATTGGGGAGTTAGTGAAAAGATGCCTAAACTTGAAGGGTGATAAAAGACCAACAATGAAAGAAGTGGCAATGGAGTTGGAAGGATTGAGGAAATTTACAAGACATCCTTGGAATCAACAGAGAAATGCAGAAGAAAATATGGCATTGTTGAGTGAACAATCAGACCTGTATGATATCACAATGGTAAGTCAAGAATTTACTACTTCAGGACAAGATAGTTTGCATACTGATCTGATTTTTCCAAGCAACAATCCTCGCTAAGGCCTAAGTGTGATATGTGTTCGGTGAAGTTCTGCATGTGTACGTGAATGTTAACAAGTAGCTGTTTTAGTGAGTTAAAAGTATCGTTCCTACGAATAATTGATTTTAAGTTGAATTGTATTTATTTAAATGAAACTCGAATTTAATCGAATCACAAGAATGAAATGATGTTTGTGTATTATCTACTAATATCTATTCTAAATTCTACCTAAATGCACGTGAAGGATATTTTTAGAAATCTTTTATGAGAAAAATGTGTTGGAATCCGACTCCACCAAATGTTCTTACGTTCGAATTCTTGACCTATATTTCTCTAGTCTAATTTATGTGTAAATTAACAACCGATAATCCAATTTTATTCAACTATCTCTCCCGAGTAAGCTAAATCGATTTCTAAACACCATCCAAAATATCCCTATTTCGAGTTCAAATGCTTAGAAACGCATTAAATTGCATGAATACCTATTTTGATCGCACAAGTCACAAAACAATTATTTCTAATGTTTATTAAACCATATGTTGATTATCATAATATTTTAATTCTATCTCGAATCACCTAGAAATAAATAAGCAACTTATTATCTAAATGGTGATCAAGCTTTTAAATAAACAATAATCATGTGATACAAATCATATTAAAAGAAATGCTCTTTGAAATAAACGGTAAAACCACAGTTTATGTCCTCATTCCAGCACTTACATGTTTAGCCTAGCATACTTATGATGAAATTACAATAAGAAATATTAATATTCATCATCCGGAAAAAAAATGTTTTCAAGAAGAAGAATTAGAATCAATTCGTCTCCTTGAATTACTTCAAATGAGCCTTAAATTGATTTCCAATTATTATTTTGCTTTTAATCTTCTATTCTGAGTTTCAATTTTCAACTTTTGATAAATTTGCGTTGAATATCTTCTTTAACCTCCTTCTCCACCTTCAATTTATTAGACAATTTCTTTCCAAAAGTTGGACGAAGTAAAAAAGGAAACAAAATCTTGCTCCGAACTAAAACCATGTGATCACATGGCATATTGATGCACGATCGCGTCTTGTATAATTCACTTCAATGACACATTAAACTCTTGCGACTGCAAAGGTTTTTATAACTTGCAATCGTAAGGTATTGCCATTTTCCACCATTTTCAATTTGGTCCTTAACTCCATTCCTTTGCTCAATTGAGGCCCCTTGTAATTGCAATTCAAGCCCTTGATCTTCCAATTTAAATCAAGCTGGTTCCCTTCATAGAATTATGCTGAAAACACCTTTTTTTTTTCCCGATTTTCATTCATTTTCTCCAAGAGCTTGTCCAACAGTGAGTTTTACCTAAACAAACTATATTTATACGAGATTAAGCAATAATTTTTTTTAAAGTACTCCCAAATCTCCATATCTAATGGTCTAAGTAAGTGTACAAAATACACTTTTCAAGTACCTGCAAACTTAAACATTTGTTCATTATCGAACGAAATCATGTGCTTGCCTCAACAAACAAACAAACATGCAAAACTTCAAATAGTTAGATAGCTTACGATTTCGCCTTATGTTTTGGAATTTCATGAATAACCTATAAAGAGCTTCAAAATCATGATACCAAGACCAATTGCCACTTATTCAATGTTAAATCGATATGAGTGTGTGAAAAATTAGGTCAAACATTATAAATATATATTCGGTTCTCGATCTTCAAAGATAAAATATATCCTTTATTCATTCTTAAGATTTACAATTCCAAATTTGTTCTTTAAACTCTCTTTCAGGGTGTATTCTAAAGTTGAAATTGTACTACCGACTTATTTCCTTCTCTATAGTTCGATCGGATTTTCTCCAATGCTAGTCACCACTTCAACAAATATAGATTATCCTATATTTTGATTGCTTCAATATCTAAGACTCGATTATGTTAATAATTCTTGCTAAAATTTGAATTCCCTCAAATAAACATTTAATGCATGTTCATGCATGCGTCTTCTATTTTACGTACTTTCTTTTTTTTTTTTCAAATTTGTTGTGCTTATTTTGTTTTATGCACTAGCTTTTATTCCTTTTAAATTTTCTTTTCGAGTTTATTTTTTCCAAATTTTTACTAATTGCAAAAAAAAAGCACAAATTTTCCATTCTTGAAGCCACGATATCCGTTAATATTAGTCTTCACCAACGAAAATTTTCCAGCACAAATCTGTTGCTAATTTAAAGGTCATCATAATTACTAATGAATTTTTCATAGGTAACGTGTAAAATTTTTATCAACGAAATTTCCATAGATAAAAGGTTTTTCATTACCAACGGAAAATCCGTTGGTAAAAATATTTACAATATATTTGTCATTATCAACGGATGTTTCGTAGGCGAAAACAACGGAAATGTTGTTGGTAAAAATATTCGTCATTACTAACGGAGAATCCGTTGGTAAAAAATATTGTCATGTAAAAATAATTATCTTTTACCAACGGATAATCCGTTGTTGAAGGTATTTTCTAGTAGTTAACAATACTTTTCACATATGGATATTCTGTTGATGAAGCTTAATTTGGTTTTTTTAATAAAAAATACTAAAAATTTATAGAACCCGCTAATTAATAATCAATATTGCCAAAACACACTAAATAATCAAAATCGTCAAAATGTACTAAAACTTTAATAGATTATATCGAAATTTCAATGTTCATACATCATGTCTTGCACATCATCTTTATGTGATTCAGAGCTAGAAGGATTGAGAGACTGACTTGTACATTTTGCTTTCCAGCGAGTATCATTATGTCATATCTCTATATCTATCCTTCGTTGTCTTCTTTCATGCGTCATACACAAGTGTTCACTTTCAATAACATACATGCACTATTAAACTCCAAGATACATATACCATTTTCATTATTTTCTTCTTTTCAATTAACGGTATTAATTCGATTATCAGAATGTAAAATATTAGATATAAACACCAATAGTAGCACCGACATCAATATCTTTTCATTTATTTGGAGAAGGTTCTTGAATATAGTAATTCTTGAAGAAAAATGTATTAGTACTTCAAGATAAATTCAAGCAAGTGATTTAGAAAATCCTCTTCGATTAAGGAAATCCACTATTTTTTTATGTTTTACCATTTTCTTAAAGCGGACTACTCCCCAAAACCCTACCCAACACGTCTATAAATTCATAAATTCCCACCCCCACTGCCGACTTCAAACCCTAAAACCGCCAACCTACCTCCTCCCTACCTGATAAACCCTAATTTTCTCACCATCCTTGGTGAGTTCAATTCTGTTCAATTCATGTAGATTTGCCTTTATTGATTTCTGAAGACTATTTTTCACATCATCTTATTTCTGCTCAGGTCTATTCATACGTAAGCACCTGTTTCTTAGAATCTAATTTTAAGTATCTAAAGTTGCATTGAAATAGGATGAATCATGGGGTACTTGTAAATTACATGGTGATAATAATTTAATGAAATTTATTGAGCTAACAGGCAACTTTGCCGAGGTGATTGATTCTTTGTGAATCTCCTCTTTTCCCTGTTGCCTATATTACAATTGGTCTGCTTGAATATTTCTGCTGGTGAGTTCTTACAATACTAGCCAATTCAAGTGCGCCAACATTGAATTTAACAGGAATAGATCCTAGAGTATAGTGTCTAAAGAGTCTAATACGATGGAACTGCCATAAGATGAGTTGTGTACTTGTAAAGTGTGAAGTTAAAACACCGTTTA